GAGATCACCTGGGGAGCTCAAAGCCCCACCCTCACGCCCAGGCCGCTCAGGCCGCACAGCACCCAGTCCTCCCAGATCAGAAGCTGAGGGCGAGGCCTGGATGCCTGGCTGGAGTCTGCGGGACAGGGGTTGGCAATCCTGGGCTGGAACCCCAGCTCGGCAGCACCTCCTAACTCTCCGATCAAAGGCAAGTCGCAGACCTGAGGAGGATCCAGGTACTCTCGGCCCGGCCCGTGGTGAGGGTTGGCCTCTCACACGTTAAGTTCTAAGTACGGCTCTGCTATCATTCTGGGCATTTTGTCTCCACAGCCTCACCCGCCTCAGGCTGCCGCATTATGCTGACTAACAGGACAACCTCCCCCTTTCCTTGGTTACTGTCTTCTCCACTCTTCCCCGCAATAGTCCCTGGCAGCCCCCTCCCGTGCAGGTTAAGGCCCCCTCCTCCATGTAGGCCTCACACTAGCTCCTCAGGTCTCCCCACCTTCTGCCTCCCACAGCACTGGGTCACCCTGGCTTCCACCCTGGGAACCGTCTTGCCTCCCATATCTTTTTTTTTTTTTTTGCCCCAATCAGGAATTGAACCTTGACCTCCTGGTCCATAGGTCAAAGTTTAACCACTGAGCCACACCGGTGGGGGTGGGTCCTGGGGGGTTCCCATATCTTAACAGTAACACCTCCCACTGTTGAATGAGTGCTCACAGGCATATGGCCGCACTGAACACTCAAACTCAATCCCAGAACACTGTGCAGGCTCTCAAACCCAGTGAAGGCCCTCTTAGGATTTGTGCGTTTCACTGTAAGTAAATTTTATTTTAAAAAGAAAGAAAGAACTGTAACAAACAGGGTGAAGTCTCCTGCGCATTTATTTTGAAATGTATGAAAAATAAGATGGCTGAACAGATAGGAGATCGAGATAATAAAATTATAAATTATAGAATCCAGGTGGTGGCATCTGAGTGCCCACATTACAATTCAACTTTTCTGTGTGTTTTGAGCATTTTCATAATGAAGTATTGGGAAGTGTTTTGTTGAGCCATGTCAGACAGTGGGAAAATATGGGGAAATAATGCTAAAAGCACCTGCTGGTGTGAGAGAGGCGAGGGAGTGAGGGTCAGCCAGCTGAAGGTGCTCGCCGCAGGCCCCACAGGTGGGATGAGGGAGCCGAGCTGGGAACCTGGTCAGTCTTCTTGGACTCCAAGTCCTGCTGCCTCTCCTCACCCATAGCCTCCTGGCCCGCCCTCTCTCCAGAAGCGCAATCGACCTTCCCTGTGACCTCCGGTTCCTCCACCTGCCTGGGTCTCCCGCTGCCCCACCTGGCCTCACTCTCCTCCCTCCCAGCCTGTTCCCACAGTTTGTCATTTCAGTGACGTGGGATGCACCCAGATGGCCGCATTGTGCTAACAGGACAACCCCCTTCAGGCTGCTCCCCAGTTCCTGACAGAGGACACCCCCCCCTTCCTGTACCCCTCCCCGTGCAAATAGGAAAGTACCTGAAAGTGGCCAGTTGATTCCATTGCAGATTAATATTCTGCAGCTGGGTTGTTGCCTGGCAACCTGGTATATCATCGCTCCCTTCACTTCCAAGGTTATCTGACTCAGTCCCCTTCTCCTGGCCAAGACGGCAGTTGTATGAGCCCCTTCTGTCCTTTTCTCCTTTCCTCCATCACTGGAGGGTGCAGTCCCTCCCCCAGGGCCCTTCATCCCAAACCCTCCTGCTTGCTCAGAGACCTGTGCCTTCACTTTTTCATTCGTTCATTCATTCATCTATTTATTTTTTTAAAAAATTTTAGCCAGTTTAACTCAGTGGATAGAGGGTCAGCCTGTGGACTGAAAGGTCCTGGGTTCAATTCCGGTCAAGGGCAAGTACCTTGGTTGCAGGACCCTACTCCCCCCGCCCGGGCCCTGGTCAGGACGTGTGCAAGAAGCAACCAACCGATGTGTTTCTCTCACATCGATGTTTCTCTCTCTCTTTCCCTCTCTCTTCCACTCTCTAAGCATCAATGGAAAAATATCCTTGGGTGAGGCCTGGCTGGTGTGGCTCAGAAGTTGAGTGTCCACCTATGAACCAGGAGGTCACGGTTCAATTCCCGGTCAGGGCACATACCCAGGTTGTGGGCTCCATCCCCAGGAGGCAGGCAATCAATGATTCTCTCTCATCATCGATGTTTCTCTCTTTCCCTCTCCTTCCTCTGAGATCAATAAAAAAATATTTTTAAAAACAATATCCTTGGTTGAGGATTAAAAATATTTTTTTTTCTTTAAATGCTTTTTTGTGCCAGGCACGGTGCTGACCCTGGGGACACAATGGTGATCAAGCAGGTCTTTGTTCCTTGTCTCTTGGAGGGGAAGCAGTGTCCTGAATGTTGTGGTGGGGGAAGTGAGCAGAGAGGCCTCTCCTTACCCCTTACTTGAACTTCTCCTCCCTGCAAGCCTGCTGACATCTACAACACGTTTTCACCTCCCTCTTCCCCTAGTAATGGCGATTGACATTTAGGGAGCACTTGTCTTATAATCCTCATCACAGTCCCACAAGAAGGGTAATCCGATGGCCCCTAGTTTATAGCCAAAGAAACTGAGACACCAAGGTTGGTGATTGTTGGTAGAAGTGATCCACCGTGGGCCTTGAGCATTCCTGTACGCCAAGAATGCAGGCCATGACCTGTCTCTACCTGCACCGTGTCTCAGGGCTGTGTTTGAAGTGAGTAACCTCAAGGCATGAGGTAATGTCTCCCTATGGGTCAAAGAGCAAGCTTGCTGCTGCTGACTGGAAAAACAATAGATTAAAAAACAAACAGCTCAGCCAGCGTGACTCAGTGGTTGAGCATCGACTTATGAACCAGGAGGTCACTGGTTCAATTCCTGGTCAGGGCACGTGCCCGGGTTGTGGGCTTGATCCCCAGTGCGGGGCATGCAGGAGGCAGCCGACTGATGATTTCTCTCTCATCATTGATGATTCTCTCTCTCTCTTCCTCTCCTTTCCTCTCTGAAATCAATAAAAATATATTTTAAAAAATTAAAAACAAACAAAAACCAATAGATTTCCCAAGCTCAGTGGTCCTCAGCTGAGATACCACCACGGTGGGTCCATATTATGTCATCACCAAGGAGCTTGTGGGGTAAGAGGAATTGATGCAAATCATGCTGTTAGCTGGGGTGTGAGTAACAAAGTGAGTTGTCCCTGACCCTGGAGTCTTGTATCTTCTGCCAGCACTGCAGAATCACTAGTAGGATAACTTGCTCTAAGTAGGTAAAATCAAATCCCAAACTCAACACGGTGATTTGCCCAGGACACGGCTCATCAGATGCACGACTGAGACTTGAACCTGGGCAGTTTGATTCCAATAAGCATTTAAAAAAAAATCTTCTTGCTGCTTTCCTGTTCCCTCTATGGTGTATCTTTCTCTTCCCTTCACTCTGTCGCTACTGAGCCAGAGAATGGGGTAGGCTGGAATGACAAGCGGCGGGGGCAAGGGGAAATGGAGTGGGGGAGATATTGATGGCTGCTTTTGCCGTGACGTCACTGGCTACTGTGAAAGGCTATTTGAGGGAAGGGAAAAGGCACCGTGTGTTTCTTCAGGCTTTACTGAAGTTCTCCAGTATTTATAAACCCATCTGATTCCAAACTATCCCCGGCAGAGGATGGAGGGCGACCTTCTGGACAAAGCTGCAGTGGCGGGGTCAGAGGCAGATGCACAAATTTCGTGCATCGGGCCTCTAGTATATATATATATTCTTCTTTCATTTAGCAGAATGTTTTCAAGATTCATTCATGTTGCAGCATGTATCCGTATTTTATTCCTTTTTTTTCCTGAATAATATTCCATTGTATGGATACACCACAGTTTTTAAATTCATTCATCGGTTGATGTTAGGTTGGGTTGTATCTGCCTTTTGGCTATTGTGAACAATGCTGCTATGAACATTGTGTACAAGTTTTTGTGTGAATGTATGTTCTTAACTCACTTGAGGATATACTTAGGAGTGGAATTGCTGAATCACATGGTAATACTATGTTTAATTTTTTGAGGAACTTTTGGACTATTTTCCTCAGCAGCTGCACCATTTTTACATTTCTACCAGCAATGTCTGAAGGGTCCCATTTCTCCACATCCTCCACCCGAAATTGTTGTGGTCCTTTCTTTTACTAGAGTCGTCCCAGCGGTATCTCTCCGTGCTTTTGATTTGCCTTTCCCTGATGGCTAGTGATGTTGAATGTCTTTTCATGCACTTAATGGCCATTTGAATATCTTCTTTGGAAAAATGTCTATTCAAATCCTCTGCCCATTTTCAATTAGGTTGTCTAATAAAGAATGGTAAGAGTTCTTTATATATTCTAAATTTGAATCCCTTATCAGACACATGACTTGCAAATATTTTTTTCCTATTTGGTGGGTTGTCTTTTTACTTTTTTTTTTTAAAAAAAGGGATTTTTATTGATTTCAGAGAGGAAGGGAGGAGAGATAGAAACATCAATGATGAGAGAGAATCATTGATTCTCTGCCTCCTGCATGCCCACCACTGGGGACCAAGCCCGCAACCCAGGCATGTGCCCTGACCAGGAATCAAACCATGACCTCCTGGTTCATAGGGTGATGCTCAACCACTGAGCCACACAGACTGGGCATCTTTTTACTTTCTTGATAGTACCCTTTGAAGCACAAGTTTTTAGAATTTGATAAGGTCTAATTCATCTATTTTTTTTCTTTGTCACTTGCAGTTTTATTGTCATATCTAAGAACTCTTTGCCTAACCTAACGTTATGAAGATGAACTCATATTTTCTTCTAAGAGTTCTATTTTTTTTAGCTCTTATGTTTAGGACTGTGATCCATTTTGAGTTAATTTTTGTATATGGTAGTAAGTATGGGTCCAACTTCATTCTTTGGCATGTGGACATCCAATTGTCCCAACATTATTGATTTCTGTATTCAACTGTTTTTGTGCATTTCAATGCAGATCTAACACTGTCATAAAAATTCACTTATAAAAAATGAAAAGTCATAATAATACTGTTGTGTGTGTTGTTTTTTTAACCAGCTCGCAGAACACAATTTGAAGTCTGCTGCTTTTATGGTTCACACTGGTGCTTCTCAAACTTGGTAAAATGAAGATTGGTTCAGCAGGTGTGTGGAGGCGGTTGATATTCTGCACATCTAACAAGCTCCCAGGTGATGCTGAGCGGCGGTCTTTAGTTCTGTCTCCACGGTGGACCACGGAACCAGGTAAGTCACATCTCTCTGCCCCTGACGTTGTCCGTGTGCTCGTTTCCTGTTGTTTCACAGAAATAGAGTGAGAATCAATGACTTGCCACACACACCGAATACTGACATGTTTGTGCTCCACGTTAACATATCTTGTGTTCCCTCTGTTTCCTGTTTTTAACCAATCGTCCATTCTGGGTATAAATGAACCGTAAAGGACTATGATTAAAGATGATTTAACCTGTGCAACGCTCAGACTGCTGTGGCTGGGCTGCGGCTGGCGATAGTGGTCAGGGGGCGAGTGACTCACACCCCGCTTCTGAGCACCGTGGAGCGAGGCTGTTGTGTGTGCGCCTTCCACCCGACACACAGTTGGTTTTAGAGATATTTACCAATATTTTAAAATAGTTATTAATGTTACAAGTTGACATGGAAATACGCACTGTTGCTGCATGTTGTGATAGACCTGGAAAACCTGTTAACCCCTGGGGCCTGTGTAAGCCTCAAGAGGAAACCAGGGACCACTGATTCTTAACTGTTTGGGGTAGTGGCTCTTTTAAGAATCTGATCAAAGCCATGGACAGTCTCACCAGTCTCGGGTTAGTTTCTCAAATGCTGGTAACCAAGTTCTGACCCTCTACCACCCCGTTTCAAACCATCTTCAATACAATACTTGATTCCTTTCCCTGAAGTTTAGTTCTAATTATGCTTCTTCCCTGCTCGTTTCCTCAATAGCTCCCCAAGGGTGTTTGTGGCCCTCCCGTAGGAATTGGCTGTTAGTTAAAAAGGCCAGTTCCTGGGCCCCACATCAGAGCTTCTGGACCAGATATTCTGGCCCTTAAGGCAGGGCCATTTGTTAGAGTTTGTAGGCCGGGGATTCTATCATGAGGCTCTGTCCCACCTCATACCAAACGAATAACAGGCACCCACAGGCCAAACAGACATAGTTTTTGTAACATTTTTGAAAAGATGTTTATCAATTTTACAAACCTATCTTGCCCTGGCTGGTGGCTCAGTTGCTTGGAGCAATGTCCTGTGTGCCAGAGGGTTGCGGGTTCAATTCCTGGTCAGGGTGTATACCTGGGTTGGGAGTTCAATCTCCGGTTTCTCTCTCACATGGATGTTTCTCTCCCCCTTCCTCTCTCTCTAAAATCAATAAAAACATAACCTCGGGCGAGGATTCGAAAATATGTTCTTCCTCTAGAACTTTATGTTGACATGGAGTTATGTAAGAATACAATGTTCTTTCTCTAGAACTTTATGTTGACATGGAGTTATGTAAGAATCGTTTGCACTTCTTGCCAATGTTACCTTTTGTCGTGTTAAACAATCATTCCTTCTGATTTTGCAGTTGTTGGGTCAGATTTGAGAGATGACACCGTTCTTTTCAGCTCAGACATCTCTGTAGGCCTTGGAAAACAGGTGGGCCCTGCGCACTGTTCCCAGATACAGGAGAGCCTAGCTGTTCTGAGTGGGTCCACAATCTCAGTGTTTAAGCTCCCCAGGAACAGTGCCTTTTATGAACATTTTGCCCATTGAGCATGATGTTGGCTGTAGCTTTGTCATATATGGCCTTTATCATGTGGACATATATTTTATAAATATTTGAGTTACAATTAAAGAGTGTAAGAAATTTATGAAAACAATCAACTCAAAAGAGAAAAAGAGTGTAAGAAATTATTGAAACCTTAGGCTATGTGCTAATTTTGAAAGAATTATCTCCTGGGGGGGAAAAAATTAGTCAAGGAGCTCTTAATTTCAAAGCCCTCTGACCCTGACACCAAGGATGGCAAATGAGGAAGGGGGTTAATGCTAGAGCTACTTGGTAGAATATTCAGTTCCCAAATATACTGTTTCTTTTTTTTGTTAATCCTCACCCAAGGATATTTTTCCATTGATTTTTAGAGAGTGGAAGGGAGGTGGAGAGACAGAGAGAAAAAAACATCAATTGGTTGTTTCCTGCACGTCTCAATCAGGGCCAGGAATCGAGCCTGCAACCGCAATTGAACTCGGGACCCTTCTGTCCATGGGCTGACTCTCTATCCACTGAACCAAACTGGCTTGGGTATCAAATATACTTCCTTTTACCTATTTACTTAAAGAGTTGACAGCAATTTGAAGAGGCTTTAAGTAGTTGTAAATTCTTGTGTAGTTCTAGCTGACCAATTTTAATTGTCTTAAACCCACTCTTTTAAGAAACACCATTTTAAGAAATGTTTGTCTCTGTTGCAGTGGGTGGGCGAAGGAGGGCTGCTGCTGCCTGGGGTGGGGCAGGGAGGCTGGGGAGAGGGGAGGACGTGGGGGAAGGGGTGGATCTCGGCTTGTGACTCAGCCTACGAGGATCACACCAACTTCCCACCCCTCATTTTCCTCCACTCCCTTCTCTCCACCTACTTGCTGATATAGTCACTTCTCTGAATCTGTTTTAACCTGGGGCTGAGTCCCAACGGTTAAATCAGAGTTGATGTGTACTTAAGTGCTTGGCACAGGCCTGACACATAGTGAGGCAGTGTATGCAGGGCCTTTGTTCCAGCCCTCATACCCACTTTGTTACGGTCCTCATACCCACTGGGCGCTTTCACTGCTGGGCCTCCTTGCCTAGAATGCCCCGCTTCAGATGTCCCCCTGGGCGAGGACCGGAGTGGGGACTTCCCAATCCTCAGAGATTCTATGCTCTTTGGCTAAGCCAAGTAGTGGCACTGGCCCCTTTCTGCCTGATAGCAAGGCTACACTGGTCTTACATCCCATCAGGGTGTCTGCTGGTTCACCTTTGCTTACCCCGTGACCCCCAGGTACACTGCACGAACCAAGACACAATGTCTGTACATTGAGCTATTTAAATTGTGAAGGTACAGGTCATGATGGGAAGATTTACCTGGGTTCTAGATAAGACTCACTTATTAACCTTGTCATTTCCACATCAGTTCTCTCAACCATCAAATGGAGACATTGCTTTATTACTTCAAGCCCGAGATTCACCCATGTCACATCAGTTGAATTAGGGCATTTACAAACCTCCTGTTGTTTGTTCACATAATTGTTTTGATTGGCTGCAGACAACTTAATACTGGTGTTGCTAGCTTATCTCAGAATACCTTTGGGGAAAACGGCAGGTCCTTAAAAGGCACAAGTTAACAGCCTCATTCAGGACCTGCACAGCCACCTATGGCAGGATTCCCTCACTATTTCATCCCACCTTCTGTGCTCCTCCGTGGGTTTGGCCCTCAGTGTTGCTTCTAGAAGTCTCTCTAGGAAAAGTTAAGTCTTTTGTTGTAGTTAAATCTTGATTTAAAAATATCACCCAAATGTTTTGAACAATGCCACCAGTTGGAGCTAAGTGGTGAGTTGTCACAACAGATTGATTTTGTAAGATCTTGTGTTCTAAGCCTTTACCACTGAGATTAGAATCCTCTTCTATTTTCAGGGCATTTGTCATTGGCTCAGCCTTTCATTAGACAACCTCCACATTCTAGTTTGACCTTGATCTACAAAATGGGGGCTGGTGACAAACAGGAAATGTTGATTCCTTATAACCTTTCTTAGCAGTTGGAAGCCTGTGTTTCAGTATCTGATTAAGACTGGTTTATGATCCACATGTGGGATTGTATTTTGTTTAACAGAACGGACCCTGGAGTACACGATACTTTACTATTCACTGCCCTTTGTCAGGGATAGCCCCCTGATATTAATTTGTTTACAAACACATCTGTCACTGTATTTTTTAATTCTACAAACCTAATTTTTTAAGCACACTTTTGCATGCCTTTTCTAGGGGTTTGGAGATTAGGTGAACCCCACACTATGTCTGTCCTTTTGCGAAACTGATAGGAGCAAAAGCTCACTAACCGTTTTCTTGGCCTATTTGCTCAGGCCCCAGTTGAGAAGCTCCGGGTCAGACGGACTCCCTGCCCACTTCTGTGGTTCTTTCACACACACGATATTGACTATACATAAAATAGAATCTGCAAGTCAGGTGTTTCTGAAAACAAGTTTTATTTAAATAAGGGTTTAAATACATAACATAACATTAAAACTGAAGGAGGGAAAAAAGAACACCCCAAAAATCATTTTTGTTTTTTTACTTCACATGGCATTGGGCAGCTGTTGCTAGGAAGTTGCAAGCTCTATAGCTAGCTACATGACTGACACTTCAGTTTGAAATTTGTTCCCTTGTCAAAAGTTTAACTCTGATAAGAAGGTTGGCCTCAAATTACGGTGTTTGGACAACAATTAGCTAGGATCTGTCTGGTCAAAAAGACCTTGGTGGCAAGCCACAAGTCCTTACACCTCACTGGAGGGAAGGTGGCAGGCTGCTTGCTCTAAGCTCCATCACTTGCAGGTGTAGATCTGTGATTACGGAAGGCTCCCTCAAGTGGTACACATGCCGCTGCTGCCTTACCCCTCTCCTCTCAGCTTCACGGAAGGCTGTTCAGGCGGTGACATTCTCTGAGGGCAGGGAACTCTGGTGAGGAGCTTTGGCCAGACATGGGCTTGGCTGAAACATCACGGTATTGCTCCGTTTCAGGCTGGACACTGCCAGGCACCTACTGCTTGACCTCTGTTTAAATGAGGAACTTCAAGACTAGACAGCATGGCTCTTTTCAGTTTATTGCATGAAGGAGTTACACCAGTCTAAGTTAAAAGCAGACCCCAAACGGTTACATTATACAAGCTGTGAGGTTTTTAAACTTGTGACAAGGGACAGAAGGGAAATTCTACTCATTGCAAAGAAATCCTCACTTAAGCTTCTGTGAGCCAAAAGCACTTAAAACCCATGAACCTTCAGCTGGTCGTCCTTAGCCAGTCCAATCTGCAAAAAAAAAATAAAAGGGCAGAGTTTTAAAGAGTAAATTGAGAGAGTTCAAGTCTCCAATTCTGGAGCAAAATAGTCCTATCTTCCTGCTTCTACACTGGGCAAGGGAAGTCCAAGAGCCAAGATGCATACCCCAACCACTGGGAGCACAGTGGTTCTCAACTCAGGGTACTTAGCTAAATACCAACAATGTAACAGATTTTAGCACTTAGGAGGAACAGCCAACCAGACATCCTGCTTAGTTTAGTACCTGTCTGCACACAATTTAAATTTGCAACCTTTAAAGGTAGAACCATAAAAAAGGGGGACATATATAATACTTTCAACAATAAAGGTTTTTTTTTAGTCAATAAAGTATTTTTTTTAAAAAGGGAAAGTAGAGCCATAAAAAAGTAAACTAAGGCAGACGAGTTCCTCCTGTTTTCGGAAATACATGTCTATGTACTTCGAAACTCAACCACTTCGTCCAGCCTTACAAAATGAAAGGGCTCATTTTCCCAGCAGACATTAACAGATGAGGCAGGATCTGCGATGAGCCAGGGCAGAGGCACCAATGCAGCAAAGTGACCCAACTCACCTCGACAAGGAACTGGCATATGTTCTTGCGCTGGTCACCCTGCAGCTGAATTACTTCTCCATATTCTGGATGCTCAATTACAGTACCATTGCAGGCAAATTTCTGCAAGGGAAGCAAGGCAGATCAGGCCGGGCCATCACCATCATCCCTTTCCGGGGGAGAGAAACAGCACAGCGCCCCTATGTGAGCAGGCTCACGGCCCACCCCTCCCATGAAGACCTACCTTCTTGAAGGCCTTCACTAGTTTCTTTTTATCGTAATCATCAGCGATCCCTTGGACAGTAGTAAGGGTCTTCCTGCCGTTTCTCTGTTGGATTCTTATATGGATATAATCCTCAGTGCCAGCGGGAAGCAGGTCATCACCCTTACTTGCATCAGCAAAGGGGTCTGGGAAGAAAGGCTGAAGTTTAGAGCCCTGGTGGCTCAGGGGCCACCGTCACCTTCCCCACTGGGTCTTCGGTGAGCGCAGAAAACGAATCCTGAAATCGCCCCAAGAACTGGGTCAGATCAGATGATGTCCCGTGTGGGCTCTCCCCGGAACAGGCGGGTCGGGGACGGGCGGCTTCCTGCCCAAGCCCCGCCAAAAGCCTGGGCCTCCGGGCCCGCCCTCGGAA